CTCTCCTATGGATTCTTAATCGTCTTTCGAACGCAGTAGCCACAGAGTCAGCTTTGTTCCTCCCAGGAAAACTGTCACCCTCTACCCACTCCACTCTAGATTGTTTAAAAAATTCTCTATTAGACTGACACAGGCCTGTACCAGGAATAGGAAATACCTGGCAGTTGTTCAGTCCTGCCCTCCACTGCTAATTCACATTATTCCTCTTTCCTTTTGAGCCACAGAATTCTTCTCAGCTGATAATCTTGGCAGTCTCTGTCAGCTAATCAGTTAGCCTTGAAGAAACGAAGTGGTATGTTTTAGCTATTTCTCTGACCAGGGACTGGCCAGACTCCTTCTGGAACGAGACCATTGTTACCACGACCAGCAATTCCTGACCACATCCTTTTGGGACTAAAGTCATGCTCAGATGCAGTATCCTTGCAAGATGGCACTTCACCTTCTCCCCTGGGCTCTCTGTCCAATAGATATCTAAGAAAGATGGCCAAAAATATTCTTCTGGCGGGTGCCAACCTCCGAGACAGACAGACACTGTGCCTAAAATTGGATAAGCTACATTAGAGGTGCCCTGGTCACCATCAGTGTGTTCAAAGGAAAAAAGTAATCTGCCCACTCATTCGTGTTTTCTTAAACAAAGAACGATTGTTACACTAATTAGCAGGGATTTCAGACACACAAAAAGAGAATCAGCCTGAAAGTAGGCAACAGATAAAAGACACAGATGACCACAGATAAATCATCTGCCAAGTGAAAGTACCTGAAAAATGTTCGGTCACCCAGATCCGTTCGTCACTCTTGTTAGCAGACTCTCTTATCCAAGTCCCAAATGTCTCTGTAACTTTTAATACTTGCACTGGATCTCCAATAGAAGTGATTGTGGATGCTACCAAAAGAGGAAATAGAAAAGTTACTCACCCGCCAATTATGACCTTAAGGCATCCAATTTCTGACTTTCGAAATAGGATGCTTTCTTTTTTTACCTGCTTGTGGGGAATGGTGTTCATTGACTTTATCATCAGCTTTTCCAACCAAGGTATCATCATTGGGGATAGCACATGTCTCACCTGAAATGACGACAATAATCGGAGCAAATGCAGTTGGCCCAGTGAGATTTGTATGACTCTGCAGCTGGCACTTTCCCCACCCTCAGTACAGCTCTAGGCCCATAGCATCCCTTAAAATAGGGTCACCAAGTTTTTTGGTTGCTTGCTTTTAAACAACAAGTCCTGCGCTTCCAAATATTACCCACTGCTCGAGGAGTGACCACAGTTGCTAAGAATCCCATGAGGATGTCAGTAAAAAGGGGAAAAGTGACCTGAGCCAGCCCATTCAAGCCTTCAGTAATCTGAGGGAGATGTTTACTGACACGTTCCTGGACTCTCTGGGCAGGTGGTATTACTACTATCAGGACTGCATTTTTCCGAAAAGGTTTTCATTCTCTGGGAAACCAATAGAGAGGTGTGGGGGGCAGCCTCATGAAGGGATATCCCACTTTGCCCCTTCTTCCTGGACTGCCAGGAGAGGAAGCACAGAGGAAGACAGAGGCTCAAGGCAGCTCGCCCCAGAGACGCTGAGCCCCACACCACCATCTCCCCACCTGCTGTCGCTGGGAGGCCTATGGAACTCGGGTGCTTGATGGACACCTGATCCACCATTAGTTTGAGGCTACACCTGAATTGGAATTCATTGTCTTCAGCTTGTCATTGTTCCCGTAACGAATGGGTTTAATTCAGACCTTTGAGGAGGAGGTGGCTTAGGGTGGCAGAAACAGGACAGCAGGAAGGAAGGAAGACTAGAGGGAGTGGACTGGCTGGGGTCAGGGCCCTGGTCTGGGGCAGGCTGGGGCAAGTCGGGCTTTCTGGGAAAAGTCAGGCCCATTTGCTTAGACAAATTCCGATGGGTTCACATAACCCTGTGGTTGCTAGATAGAAGAGAGCACCTCTGTTGTCAGTAGGGAAGTTCAGGAAATAATCTGGAGCGGTTTCTTTATCAGTAAAATAAGGGGGCGGGACCCTCAGTGCTCTCTAAGCTGCTTTCTAGCTGGATGAGCCAGTGTTTCTCTGAAGTCCTCTGTCATCCACTGAGAGCAGTCTCAGAGATCTGTTTCACATGTAGTCCTGCTGCCTCTGAATTTCATCTGGAGTTTCCCTTTAGGAAGCTGGGCTTTGCACAAGAAAGGGACAGAGAGACCCTCCTGTCCTTAGTCTGACGAAAAGGCTCTCATTAATTTCTATTTGCACCAACCTGCTTCTAAAGCTGTGGGGGTAGGAAAGGGGTTAAAACAATGGAACTGGAGCAATAGAGAGGGCCAAGTTCAGATGCAGGAAGCCTGGCAGATGAGGACTCATTTCCAGGGGGCAGAGTGGAAGATAATGGGCTCTCATTTAAAGTAGTCTTCACAACTCTGGGGCTCAACCCTGCTCACCAGCCTCTCAGTAGATAGGCCAGGCAGAGCAGAACGCTTCTCCAGGCACTACTGTCACTGGCTGACAGAGTCTTAGCAAGTTAGAATTCCACACAGCTCTGGTCAGATCTCCCCCTCTCCCAGGGGAGGGTTCCTACTCAGTTCATTCTCCAGGGGCAGCTGAACAAAGGACTGGTGCTAATAGAGGAGGTGGCGCTGAACACCAGGGAAGGAACAGCTAACTGCTGAGTAGAATTACAATCAGGCTCTATTTATTGGGGTGTGTATACCTCTGTTTGTGTGACATCTTTGAAATGACAGATTTGCCCACTCTAAGAGCTGAGTGTGTACCCCCAAAATGCATTCCAGAAAGAACAGTACACCACACCGAACTAAAGACTGTTTAGGGAAGTGGCTGTGAAATCCACAGCAGATGGGAGACACACTGCAGTCAGGGCCCTCCTGTCTGCCTCCAAAGCAAAAGCATTGAGTTGTGCCTTCTTGTGGACTAAGCAGGTGAGCAGGTGCCAGGTCACCGCTTTTGGGAAGAAGTTCTAGCATTACCCTAGAAGTATTTTCAATTAACATGGCTCTTGATTTCTAATTAGCTTTCAATCCTGTGGCGTCTCTGTCACAAACTGGCCAAAGGACAAGTCCTCCTGGCCTTCCAGAGATCAGGTGTTCCTTGCCCCTGACTGGCTTAGTCACAAAGTGAATCTCCATCTCTGAAAGGAAGATGCTGGAAGAGGAGGGGCTTTACAGGCAGGTACGCCTGAGTTTGAATCCTAGCTCTGTCACTTACTAATTGAGTGTCCTTGAGCAAGCTATTTAGCAACTGGGGTTTCATTTTTGTGTCTGTAAGTTGGTGAGAATAACAACTCTTATGTCCTAGGACTGCTGTGAGAATTAAACGAATTAAGCACTTAGCACCATGCCTGGCATTTTGTTAGCACTCAAAGTTGGTGGTGACAATGGTAGTGCTGTAGTATTTGTGGAGAGTTAACCAGTCTGAACTCCCCCACTATCTCCTCCAGCATCAGCCAAGCCCTTCACTTTCCAAAAGTGAACAGCTTAGCCTTCGAGACTGTTTCAGGGGACAGGGATAGTCTGGTGATAAGTGAAGAGAGAGGATGAGGGAAGGGAGTGGGAGGCCAAATTCTAAACCTGCTACCAGTCTTCACTCCTGGGACAGACTGCCCAGGCCTTCCACAAACATGTTCAAGAGGGAACTCTCACTTTGGATAAAATCTCCTTCTGTTTAAAAAATCTGGTCACAAAACCTGGGTGAAGCCCAAGAATTAAGAAGAGACAGGTTCCCTGGGGCAGGGCTGGTAACCTGGGCACTGGCCGTTGAACATGTTTGGCTGTCGAGGGCCTTTAGATCTTCTGCTTCCAGGAGGCCCCGGGGGACCTGGAGGGCCCGGGGGCCCAGGTAGGCCGGGTGGGCCTGGTGGGCCTGGGTCACCTTTGGCACCTGGAGAGAGAGAAAGAGGGTGGGGAGGGAGATTGATAAAAGAATCATAATCAGAGCTGGGTTTTACACCAGGGGAAAGAATGAGCAGCTCCAGAGAGGCTGCCTGAGCGACCTGCCCAGAGGTGACTGGCTGTTCGGCTCTCATCCACACAGAGATGAGGAGGCACTATCATAGCAAGTGTTGAGTTCCAACGATAAACAAGGAACTGTGCCAAGAATTGTAAGAAACTACCCCCTGTCGTTCTTCCTAACACATCTGTGAAGTAGCAATAGCAGCCCCTCAGTGACTGGAGTCTTAGGGATAGTTATTCAGTGCTTTGCCCAAGGTCACAACCTGAATGGGGCTGGAACTCAGGTGTGTCTGACTCCAAAGCTCATCCTATTTCACTGGCCCATGTCAGTGGATCTCATCCCTGACTGTTATCAGAATCACCCAAGGAACTTTAATACAATTGTAATACTTGGGCCGCATCCCAAACCAATTAGATCGGTATTGTGGGGAGCTTGGTCACGTGTATTTTAAAAAAATTCCTTTTTCAATTACGGTTGACATACAATATTATATTAGTTTTAGGTGTACAGCATAGTAGTTAGACATTTATGTAACTTACAAAGTGATCACCCGATAAATCTAATACCCATCAGACACCATACATAGTTAATTATATTTGCCATGTTACATCCCTATGCCTGTTTTCACTCATCTGTATTATTTCAAGTCTCTTACTATGCAGCCAGGTGTGAGAAACACTGCTCTGTGTGGTAGAAGAAATCAGGAGCTCCCATCTAGATCTGTGACCTTGAGCAGGCAGCTTAACCCTGCTGAGCCTGTTCTTCATCTCCAGATTGAGTCTCATACTCCCTGCCCTCCCCTTTGAGAATTATTGAGGTCATTGGGGTGAGTGCTCTGACAGTTAGAACTCGTACACGCCTGCAAGCAGCCATTCCTCGAACTTCAGGTGGCTAACATGGATGCAGCCCTCTACAAGGGATGTTAGTCCTGGAGCTTTCATAAAGACGTCCCTAGTCTGGGCTGTTCAGCCCTTTGGTTCTACCCTCCTGTCTGGGGCTGATGCTGGTGATCTAAGATCTCTTTAGCTGCCTCTTCCAAGTAAGACCAAATAAGCTTTTTCGGTCTCTTTAGAGTGGGCAAGCAGGAGTCACAGAAGCTAGAGGTAGGTCAGAGATCTGTAGGCAGGGCACCCATGATCCAACCCTCCAGTGCCTTCTCTGCTCTCTGACCAGAGGACACACTCAGTTCTGGCCTGGTCTCCTGAATTGGGGTATAGTCAGTGAGGTGGTTTTTCTGAATGGTTTGTCATCCCCCCTCACTTGTTCAGTATAGGAGAATGTAATATTCAGGATGTAGCAACTTCCCATATAACTGATGCATAACATGAGATTATATTTTCAGAGTATATTCATGTATCTCACCCTGTCAAAACACTTGTTAAATTTTATGCATTTTTCATAGCAACCTCCGCTGTTTATGAAACTAAGCATGCTAAACATAATTTGATTTTTCCTTGATATTTTGGTCTTAGCACAGTGTCTAGCAAATAGGATGTGCTCAGTAAATTTTCAATGGATGGATGGGAGAATGGTTCAGGGTCATTATTCTGAACATCTGTCATCTTAGCTTCTTGAGGACAGACATGTCTTACTCATTGTCATATTCATAGTCTCAGCTGTTAGTGAAATCCCTAATTCATAGTCCCCTCTGATATTCAGTGGATGTTTACTGAATACATTAATAGGATAGTTCAGTTTATACAAGTGGTCTCTAAAGTACTGTTTGTTTAAAATTCTTCTTCCTCGTCCTCCTCCATGACCATTAGCTGTCACCTACCTACTCCTTCTACCATATGACTGTCCTTCTGTGGCTCACAGCATCTCTACCTCCTCCCCCACAGACACCAACTATCTGCTTTTAACCTGGGCTGAAAACCAGAAAAAGATGATCAACAACGATATTTGCTCAATTCTCTATGTCGAACTTAGGATAACATGAAGAATGCCTGTGCTTTCTGTCATTTGTTCTCTGAGGTATCTTAAATTGTTTGCTTACTTGTATTGTTCTGGATTGTGCTGGATTTAATAGATATTTTTTTTTAAAAGGAAGCTTCCTTCATCCAAATTCAATCTAATCATGATGTTTAGACCTGAATTATTTACCCTATTACTGCTTAGGTCTCAGATTTGGTCTTGCGAACATTGGGGTAACATGTACAGTTTTATCCTTTTTGAAAGCACAGAACTCTAAAACATGCTACATAACAGGTGGCCACATATGACAAATAAAGAGAGAAGACCTACAGCAGCCCTTGCATTAAATCCCAGGCAGGCCTGTTCACTCTGGGAGAAGGCCTGAGCACCAGCCTCTTACCTGTGGATAGCACATCATTGGATACGTCCCCTTTGTCCCCCTTTTCACCCTTCTGCCCTGCTGGGCCCTCACTTCCAGTCAAGCCCAGTTCACCAGGGTCTCCCTTTTCTCCTGGAATTCCTGTGGCTCCTGGTAGCCCTGAGAAAAATAATAATTTATTAGCCTGTTGTGCAAGAAATTCTGGCATACTACTTTGTGATATTGTACCATGTACTAAAACCAAATATCTAACTAACACATATAATCATTTTAGGACAGCAGCATGGCCGACATTAAAGAGCAGTATTTCCAGGTGGCTCTGGTGGACCATTATTAGAGACATTTGAATGGGACAACAGGATAAGGAGAAGATTGAACCACAAGAGGGACAGTTACAGAAAGAACAGAAAGAAGGTAAGGCCTGACCAGAATTCAGATGCGTACCTGCAGGTTGGATGGAGCACTCAGAAGGGTTGGCTTAATTGGTTTATTCCTTACAACATATTGGAGTGGAGCTGGGCACTTAGCCTTACTCTTACTTTGTAGTAGTTGGAACGAAGGCCTACAGGGGTTAAGGCGGATGCTCAGTGAGCAGCAAAGATCTTCCGATTCTATCACCAAGACCCTTTTCTGTGACATTCTGATATAAAATGCTTTTAATCAAAATAGCAAAACAAGTGGCTTTAAGATAGGCATTAAGAGGGAATGGTGATGGTGTGAACAAATTGCAGTAGATAAAATTTCTGCCTCTTCTCCTGGGTAGCCATCACTACAGGAACTGCAGTCCTGCCGCACACAAGTAGGAATAGTCACGATGTCAGCCATGACCTATCTCTGCATTGGACTACAAGCAGCATAGGATTCTGATCCTTGGGAGAAAGAAGCAAACTAGGTTCGTAGGATTGTCACAACTTACTGCTGGCAGGTAGTTTCTAGACAGCAGCACAGGGAACCCAAAAAGAGCCTGGCAATTTCGCTGTGGTGAAGAAATAAAAACAAGAGTTTGGGGACATAGAGGTGGCTAGAATTTGTGAGACAGAATACAAGAGAGGATGTAGTTGTGTAGAAACTGCTGGAGAACCTGACTTCTTGACTGAGTAATGATCTGTACAGTGCAAGACAGGGAAAAGAATGAACAGAAAGTACTTCCCTATGCAGCTCTCAAAGCCTGCACAGGGAAAGGTCTCATTCCTACCAGTTAAGGTGGAGAGATCTCAGAAAATGATGGGTAGAGTCTGTAGAAAAGTTTTGTCTTAGTAGTGGGGCTAAATTAGCCCAAGCATCAAGGCAGCTTTGGACCCATTATAAAATGCTTAAAAACAAGCTTTGAAAGAATTAAACTGATCTGGAGATATTGCTCAATAGAGATGTTGCCGAAAATGGCAGAGATTTCAGGCAACAGGAAAGAGCCAGAGGTATGTTTTAGTGCAAGCAAAACTTTAATTCCTTTCAAAGTGTATAACCAAGAGGGCTTAGGATGTACTGTCTTTTCTAATTACCTCCTGCCACCCCATGCCCCTTCTTATAGGCTCTGGCTTAGTGACTGCTCATCCACCCCTCTCCTATGCCCTCTCAAATTGGACAATCCCCACTCCTTCTGTCATCTTTCTGGCACTACAATTGCCCTCCCTCTAGATTTAAAAGTCTGGACTACCCCACCCTTACTGACTTCTAGCACCATCAAATTCAATATAACTGTCCCAAGGGAATCATAGGATTCTGAATTGAAAGGCACCTAGAGGTCATTTCGATCAACCTCCCATCCAACCCTAAAAGCCTCTCTACACCACCCAATTTGCTCTGTTCTTCCCACATCCTTTCAGCAACGGAGAGGTTATCATATCACATCACAACACATCATCACATCACAGATCGTACTCGAACACTTTGCACTGTCATCAAAGTAATTATTCCCTAAAACTTAAACCTGGATCTATGATTGTTCTGGATTGTGCTGGATTTAATAGCTATTTGGAAAAAGGAAATATCTTTCTAGCGTAGAAAGATATGCACTTTTTCCTTGAAGCCAAAGGAGTGATAAATATTCAAAATGGTTTCTGCTCTTCCATATTCAAGGTGACCCTACACAGACCACCCCAAGGAAGACAACAGTGTACGAAAGAACCTTAAAATGTTGATCACTATTAGAAAATGTAGTGAACAAAGAAACATATCAGTGAAAACTATGAAATTCAGTTGCAGGTGGAAGTCAGAGGCCTTGGGTTCCCTGCCTCTGCCAGCAGTGATCTTGGGTGGTGCCATGCTCCGGTGGAGGAGCTGGGGACACAAAGGAGAGGATGTGAAGAAGAGCAGAAGCCCCTCCATTGTCAGCATCTGCTCTGCCACAGGCTCGGTGACACGGGGGAAACTCATGCCTCTTGGGTGGGGAACGGCTCACGATACATCCCTCACAACAGCACTGGCAACGCGGCCATCGGTCTGGGCCATCCCTGCCCAGGTCATCTTCCTGGAAAGGGATTCACTCACTTAAGAGGAGCCCTTAATCAGGGACCTCTGCATGAGAAGACGTTCTTTTGTCAGTATTTTAAATAGGCAATTTGGCATTTTATGCAGGACACAAAAGACGAGACCGTTGCCATAGAGCCCAGCCTGCACAAAGCACCAAGTATAACTGATACTGGCCACAGGTTTCACATGCCCAGATTTAGCAAAGCTCAGGGAAATGATATCTTCTCATTACTTCAGGGTTTTCTTTTCCAGGCATTTATCTGTGTCACAAAAAGCCTTTCTGTATCATCATCCTATTTCCATTTCTTTTCTTTTATTCTTTCCTCTTCTGCCTTTTCTGTCTCAAAAAGGCCATGTGTGAAACAGGAAAATGTTTATATCATAAAGCAGCTGGTGTAAGGCAGCTCCCACAGGGGCAGGTGTTTAAAGCTGAAGCTATTAAAGATCTTTGCTTAAAGGTGTATTTTGACGCTTATCTGGGTGTGCATAATCATTTTTAATCTTCATTAAGAAAGAGTGAGGATGTTTTCTCTACCTACAGTCTGTCTTTGCTTTGTTGTGGCCATTGCCTCTGACAAAGTTTCTCCTTCTCTTTGTTGGTAAAATCGCCTTGGCCATTGTCTCAGAAGTACACCCCTTCCTAATCATATTCACCATCAGAAGACCCGTGTGTGGCACTTTCCACCCTACACCGACTCTTCTGTACACAATCACACTATCACACTGTGTGCTGGACCCTGGCATTGTTTGTCCCGTGACTGCCGGCAGGCTTCGAGTCAGCACGTTCTGTCTGAGAAGTAACACCAGATTCTGTTTGCCTAACTCGTGTGCTAGAAGTGGCTCTCTGCTATTTTTTCTTCCCTGGTGGCACCCACTCAAAACAAACCGTTTTATCAGCCTTAGAGTTGGGAGTTGTGTGATGATGTGGAGGTCAGTTCCAGCATCTTCACGGCAGGGAGTGAGGGAGGACGTCTTATTTTGGCAGGACCATCTGTTATAGACAGAGGGTAGGGAAAGGGGACTAGAGGATGTAGCACAAAACCATCCCAAGACTGGGATGAATAAGGAGGAGGATGTTTATTTCTGTTTTTATAGGGATTTGATTTTTAGAGAAGACACTGCAGCATTAACTCTTAAGTGAGAAAGTGAGACAGATGGAGAGAAAGAAAATATTTGGTTTTGAGGCAATAGAATGTCAACTTTCATGGAAAATGCTAGTTGCAAAATGACAACATTTAAGTTTCTTTAGGTTCAATTCTTCTCTCCAAATCTAAATCAGTGTTTTCCAATGAACACAAGTATTTCCACTTAGATTTCCTTTCAGTCTTTAACCAAGTTACCTTACATACTTCAATCTCCTGGAAACAACCGTTAGGCTAGAGCTCTGAAACTCCTATTTCATCAGGTTAGTCGTCTTCCTAAGAGCCCAAAGTGGCTGCCGGCTGCCTCCTGTACACACAGAGCTGAAGCCCCTGGCCCCACCCCAGTCTAGCCTGGGATCTCACTTATACCCAAGGGCAGCCTCACTAACAGATCCTCAGAGCTAGTTCTTTCTGTTCTTCCCCTGCAATGCCATCCCCACCTCTTCTCTGCTTATTTCCAAGATGTCGATAATACGTCTCTCTCTTGTCCTTTACACTTAGCTCTACTTCAAAATCTGTACTCTATCCAGGGTCCTATTTGTTCATTATCTGCACAGGAAAGGTCAGCTTTTTCTTCTGGCAGTATTACCTGCTGTACAGTATAAAGCAGTCTTCAAATCAGAATAACTAGTTATTGAGTACATGTTGTGTGTAAGAGCTTTCAACTGGGCTGTAAGCCCTAATAAACAGAAACTATATTCTGTTCTCATGCATGCATGCATTCATTCTTCATTCATCAAGTATTCATTGAGCTTCAACGGGGGCCTGGCTGAGAGTTGTGCCAAATAATAGAATATATATGGCATAGTCTCTCCTTCATAGATAAGCACTAGTTTTGCTTAAAAATGAACTCTTTGAGTGTTGGAACCCAACCTTCTCAGTCTACAGATGAGGACCAAGGCCTGATGATGGAGTGACTTGCTCAAAGCTTCAGAGCCAGTAGGGAATGGAGGCAGGTGCTTCTGGAACTCCTTCATCTGCTACCTTCTGCCTTGAGAGCAGAGAACGAGAGGCATGAAATCAACTCTGACTGTCTAGCAGGTTATTTCATTGAACTATGTGCTCTTTCACACGTACTGTAGGCCTCTCTGAAGGGCTGGCACGCTCCCAGCCCTTCTGGTAAGACTCGGCGTTGGGCTCAGGTTGAGGGCATCTGTAGCCCTACATCCTTCAACAGTTAACAGCAGTAGCTCCTGAGGCCCAGCCTTCCTCCCCACTTGCTTCTGCTCTGTGGCACCTCCAATAACACCACTCTCAATCAGGCCCAATCCCCTCGAGCCTGGCAGATCTAGTGTGGTAAAGGCTGAACGCAGGGGTCCAGGAATCAGAGACCTGGATTCAGTCCTGCCTTCTTCACTTATTAGCTTCTTGACATTGGACAACTCATGTCCACTGTGACTTCGATGGGTGTTCCAGGCACTGGAGGTTGGGATTAAGCAAGACACACCTGGCCTGGCTCTTAGGAACCTCATGCTCCCTACGGAGTCTGACCATCAGCACATCAATACACAAACACAAGGAGAGAATTTCAGGGAGAGATACATGTTTTGAAAGTGAGCAGAGATGTGACTGAGTAGGTAAGGCAGAGGCCAGATACAGAAGTCAGGTACAATCTTAAATAGGAGGTGACATGTGAGCTGAGACTTGCACCGTGGGAAGACCCAGCCACTAAAAGGGCAGGGAGAGGGCATTCATTCCAACCAAGTGAGTACAGCAGTTCAAAGACCCTAGGGCAAGGGTGGGCTTGGCCTGTTTGAGAAACAGAAAGACCAGGTTTCTTCATCTGAAAATGTATGGCTAACAAGAATATCCATCTCCTTAGGTTGTTGTGAGGACTAAATGAGATAAGTAGAGAGAACACTTGGTAGAGTGTTTGACAACAAATCTTAGTCATTTATTATTGTTCAGAGGATCACTAGATGGCACAATCCAGCTTGAGTCTTATCTCTGGGGAACACAGTATCTTTTTCTGTTTTCGGAAACAACAGTTGACATTTTCTCAAGTTTTCCCGTGGCTCCCCTCTCCTATTCCCACGAATGATCCTTGAACTCTCAGCCAAAATAATGGCCTTTCCTTCTTCACAGTCACGACCCTGGCCCAGTAGGTCACGTCTCTGTGTGAGATCCTGCGGTACTCTCCTGGGAGCTGATGGTGAGACTCAGACCACTAATCTGAAGGCTGTGGAAGGGCTCAGCCCCTGCCTCCAGCCTCCCCTCGCTGCAAACCCTCCTTTTCCCCAGCTGTGCTGCCAGGGCTTTGCAGGTGTCCTGCAGTCCACCTGGGCCGCTCCCTCCCTCACTTTCATCCTTCGGGTCTGATCTTAGACATGACCTCCTGACCCTCTCTCTCTGCATCCTGTATCTCATAGCACCTGATCTGACCTTCAAATGTGTATCTTACGTTGTGATTACAGATGTATTAGAATGTTGACTGCTAATGTCTGCCTCCCTACCCAGGATGGAAAGTTCCAGAATAGGGGCTGCATCTTTTTTGTTTTCCCACTTGCACTTTGAAGCTGCCCAATAAATATTTGCTGACGAACGTTCCCACCCTCATGTCCTCAGCCTCCCTTGCTGGCCCACCCCCTTCAGCTTGGTCCCTTGATGCTGTTGCATCTCAGGGCTCGACCCAGGCTCTCCTCTCCTGTTGGTTCCCTCCCTAAGTACATGCACCCATGCCCACATGCCCCTGGCCTCTGATACTCCCTGATGTAGACCCCTAGCCCCTGGGTGTCCTCTGACTGCAGACCTGAATCCCCAAGGACCCCTGACACCTCCTCCCTGGACATCTTAATCTCAGCACACCCCGTGCCGAGCTCCTGACGTCTCCCTGAACCTAAGTCAGTACAGGGCTCTCACCTCAGGGAAGAGCAATCAAGCAGGGCAGAGACCTGCGAGTCAGTCTCAGTGGCCCCTCCTCCTCCCTCTCTATATCCACCTACCACCAGAGACTGCTGATTTCATCCCCCAATATCACTCAACTCCATCGGTTGGTTTCTTCCTACCTCTATCTGCCCTCCCTTCTGTCTGCTCTTTGAGAAGCTTTAAACTGTCTCCCAGCCTCCACTCTCGCTTCTCTTGTGTGCTTTTTCTAACGTGTTCTTACGCAGCAGCCACAGTGGTGCTTCTGGAAGGCATATCCGACCATGTCACTGTCTCCTACTTGAAAACCCTCAGCAGCTTCTTGCTGTTCTCAAAATAAAGCTATTTCTTCTCTGTGGCCCTGTCAGCTCTGGACTCTTGCAAGAAGGCTGAGTGCTGGGTAGGATGGGAATTCATCTTTGGGCTCAGGACGGGGGTGGGGAGGGAAAGCACAGCCCCAGGGCCTTTAGCAGAGTGATGGGGATAGCACAACCCTTGCTCTGGAGTCTGATTGCTGGGGCTGGAGTCTGAGCTGGCCCAGAGCTGACTAATGCTTTCAACAACTCCTTGCCAGAGAGCCAGGCTCTTCAAACAGCCTTTGTCTTTATACATCTAGAAGGGTGCTTAGTCTCCCCTTCCCCTGGCCTAGAGGGGAGCAAAATGACTCAAGCTCTAACTCAACCTTAGTGGAGGCTTCTCTGTTCTACCGTTGCTAACCCCAGGAGGCCTCCCTGCCTGGGAGACTGCTAAAGAGGAGGGTCTGTGTCTTTGCTGCAGTTCCTCTGGGTCTCCAGGAAATGGAAGATTTGTTCAACCTCCATGGATAAACAGAATCCAGCACCTTCTCATGCATCCGCTGACGTCTCCTGCTCCAGGCCTCCTCCCTGCCCTCCTGCAGCCTCCCTCAGCACAGCGGCTAGGGTGATCCTTTCACGGATGTGGCAGGGCAGGTCTCTGCTCTGCTGCAAATCCTCCCTGTCTCACTCTGACTACAAACCACCGTTCTTCAAATGCCCAGAGCATTCTTACCTCTGGTCTTAATTCGACCACGTTTACCTCTCACCCTCTTTGCCCAGCTGCCCTGGCCTCCTCAGACTCTAAAGGCATGCTGGACCCCCATCTTCTGCTGGAACCCTCTCTTCCAGATGCCCTGGGACTCCCTCTCTTAACTCTTCCAGGTGGTTTGCTCAAAGGGGGGCTTGCTTGGCTTCCCACTCTGTAGTCGCTCCCCACCCCTCACCCACGTCCCATCCCCTCTCCTTGCTCTATTTTTTCTCTTTAGTATTTAGCACCATGTAACAGATGATATAGTCTATTTATTTATCCTGTTTATTGTCCATCTGTCCAGACTAGAATGTAAGCTTTATGAAGGCAGAGGTTTTGTCAGCTTTTTCATTTCTGGAATCTCCAGCATCTAGAACAGCATCTGTCACGTAAATATGTGTTCTCTAAGTGAATAAACTTTTTCTTCTCTGCCTTCACTGGGTTGTGGGAAGCATGCTAAGCACATCTCTGCAAAGCCAGGGATCCGTTTCAACCTTTTTGAAAACCACCCCTCTCCCAACTGCCCCATTCCCAGGCCTAGCATGATGGTTCCCTTCCCCTCATAGTTGCCCCTCATAATTCTTATTGCTGAATCCTCAGGACTGGATGACATTTTGGAGGGCTTCCTGGGATAAACCGAATGTCTATACGCTGACAGTCATCATTATTGGATGCTGACGTTCATTTATAATTATAATCATTATCCTTCTCGTAACGATTCATTACTGCTCTGTAATTCCGAGTGTAATTGCCAGTCTTCTGAAGACTTGGACCATGTTGCCCACTTTCACGGAGGCTGCCCCCTGGGAACACGAGCTTGTAGGTTTTGCCAAGTGGCAGAGCCCTTCACTATTTATTCCCTACCCACTGGCTCTCACTTAGATTGCTCATGGGAATAAGAGCAGAGGTGCTGGAAAGGGTTACTGTGCTGTCTGGAAGAATGTCCTAGTAGTTTTTCTAGCCCAGGGCCTGTTCTAGTGAGTTGGGGTAGCAGAGGCAAGAGGCTGAAAATTAACAAGACAGTGTGGTGGAGCCTCCACCCTCCACAGTGGCTGAGAGCCATGTCTTCCTAGAAGCCCCCTGAGCAGTCTCTAACCCCTGCACTCGAGCTTCCACCACACCATGTGCCAGCTTCCTTCAGTGAATCCCCTCAGGCTTTCTCCCTGATTCTCCAGGATTGGTGCTCAGAGCGCTTCAGATCTTGCCCCAGCCTACGTCCCAGCCTACACCCCAGCCTCCTGCCAGGCCCTGCTGGAGCCCCTGCCTCTCTCTGCCCCCTGGGCACATCTGATCCCTCAGTGCTTCTGGGCCTTTGCTTGGGTGATGACAATGCTGCCAGTCATAGCAGGGCAGAGGAAGTCCCTTGGAGATGCCAGCCACATCTTTGTAATTGTCCTATGACCATTGGACAGGAGTCGCTGACAGCTGGCACCCTATGACCTGAGTGCCACTCTCAGGGAGGCCTGGATGCTGCCGTTCTACTCAGTCCAGCTATTCCTCTAGCCAGGAAAACCCAGGGACTGACATTAGTCAACATCTTTTTAATCAAATACAAAGATTTTTTGGGCAGGAGAAGGCAGTGAAAGGGCAAGGCAGGAATTGACCATCAAAAGGACCTGGGGTGTTACACATGTAGCCATCACACAGCCCATGGAGTACCCCTCTCCACAGCTCCTGCTCCTGCCTCCTTTGTCTTCAGTCTGCAGCAGAGCAAGCAAAAGAGTGGAAATCAGTTCCCAGGGAGACTGCCACTTCAATTGGAAACAAACCGTTGTCGGGGTTGGACCAAAAAGAATGCCCTTGGCCTGCCAGAATACAGCAGCTTGCAGGCAAGAGTTAAACCAGCCTTGCTTGCAAGGATGCAACACTTTATCTCCACTGCACTCACTTTAGCCCATTCAAAATGTAATAACAGAGACAAGCAACAAAGAAAGTAATTAAAGAGTTGACAAAATACCCATTTTTCCTCTTTTTCCATTTGCTCCTTTTTCGCCTTTTGGGCCCGGGGGACCAGGTGGTCCATCCGATCCATTGTGTCCTGGTAACCCACCAATTCCCGGAGGTCCTGCGTCAAAATGAGGGAAACAGGAACATTAAAAAAAAATCTCTTCAGATCTCGTCTGATCTCGGAAGCTAAGCAGGGTCAGATCTGGTTAGTACTTGGATGGGAGACAACCTAGAAAGACCAGATGCTGTATGCATTAAAAAAAACAAAAAAAATGTCTTCATTAAAGTTAAGGTGATTTCCTGTAGCTAGTGAAACTGGGCAGGTGTCACACCTTTTCCAGATCCTTCCTTGCTTCTTCCCTTTCTTCTCTACCTTTGCTGCCCCCACCTGAAACAGTGACAGGTGGGGAATGGTAAGGCAGCTTCTCAAGTGGGAGGGGGCAGGAGAGCTTGTCATGATTGGGGTAGAGAGGAGGGTAGACACAGTCATAACCAGGGTTGCCTCTAGATTCTTCCCCCTTACCCAGCTCAGTTGCTTCTGAGTGATCGTGGACAGCCAGTCATCCATATCCCTCCCTATGAACTAGAAAAATCCATGGGCTCTTACCTGGTGGGCCAGGTGGTCCTACAATAGAAAAAGAAATTTAGATGATAAACAGTGGGCAGAAGAAAGCAAAGCCATCTCCATGCCCCCCCTAAAAAGAGCACTTCCCCCTCTTAAAATGTATTGATCGCCTACTGGCACCAGGAACCACTCCATGCCTTTTATTTAAAACCCAGTAAATTTGCCCAAAAGATTCTTAAAAACAATTCAACACAGACTCGCTCCAATCAAAATCACTTCTGTTTAAGTTTCAATGGACCAAGAATAATTTCTGAGTTGGCTTCATCATAGATTCAGACATCAGTCATCTCTCAATCAACTTAATTAAATGAGGTTGGGTGACAATGCAGGTGAGCACTAGTGCAGCCCTAGTACAGGTAAGTGTCAGTGAATGGTAGTGCTGTCATTGCAGGGCTGAGGTCTGACGGTCACGAGAGCAGTCCCAAGTGCTCTCATCCAGCCAGCTTGTCTCCTCTAGGCAGCTGAGGGGGAATTGAGAACAGAAGCTGGTTCGCCGGGTGTCTGTTTTGTTGCATGAGACAGCTTGAGGAAAACTGAGGACCCAGATCAGGTAACAAATACCTTTCTTAGTATATAATTACCCAGAAAGTCTAAGGGGTTCAGATGAATCACTTACAAATAATCTAACAAAACATTTTGCTTCTACAAGTAGGAGAGTCTTATTATCAATTATTCTATTTGAGCACACAAACTAATGAGGTCGTAACATAAGCAGATGAGGTCCTTTTGTTTCTCCACATATAATATTACCAATAT